AAAACTTCAAAATGCTTAACATTTATAAACAATAACATTCAATTTGCTATGCTGACAATGAGTTTTAGGTAACGTTAGCTAAGTGCTCCATCTGTTATACATGACTGCTGAACTTAATTACTTTAATTTGCTAGTTTGCTAGTTAGCATGCTAAAGGCTACATAGCTAGCAGCATAAAAGGCAATAAACCACAGTTTTAAACCAAAGTTTATAGCCAGACGGAGCAATTACTCACACAATATATGTATGCTATGTTCAGAAATCTCAAAAAACACTCAGCATTACAGAGTTTGCATGGTAAGCTGATTAGCTTACCTAGCAAAGGGTGAGTGCATTTACATTTAATAATCTACTCCTTGCTGTCCCCTCCTTTGCTTGTGTGGCCACATGTGTAACATAGGTGCAATGCACTTTCAGGTGGTGAGTCGAAGTTGGCGAGGGCATGTTAAAAAAGGGTATCAAAACAACCTAGAACTGCGTCGGTCTGATTATTGTGGCCTAGGCAATCTAATCACAGTACAGGAAGAGAAATAGCCGAAAAGCTTTTTTCCTGTGCTAAAAAATGAAGTATATCTATGGTTCATAGCTGCCTCTCCACCATCTGAGCTTCTCTAGCATAAAATTCCACTAAAATATTACACAGAAGTTTGCATATCCCTGTGTGTGAAGCACAGTTTACTGGGAACAAGAACTTTTATGGCCTCTGTAACACTACTGCAGTGCTGTTAAGCTGATTACATATTTGTGGGGAGGAGCAAAGCAGGTCAGTCAAAAAAGGCTGTTATGGTGATCAGTGAAGCCAGAGCCAAGAGCAGAATTCAAATGATGACAGAAAGGTCATCCTGTGGTATGCTGAAAAAAATAAAGCATACTGTTAATGTGATTAAATCTACAGGTGTGTTTCTGCGCTTCACATGAGTGGGAGTTTTACACCATTTGGTCACACCATCTGAACACTATGACCACAAAGCAAAAGCTACCAAGCTGCAACTAGTGAGCCTCATATGAACTGTGGCTGATAAAAAGGGGGCGTTTTTACAAAAACAAACTTGAGTAAGTGAAGCTGTGTTGGAGAAAAAAAGAAGACAAAACAAAGATGATGTCTGGGTTCAGAGCTCCTCCTAGTGCACAGATAATGCACTACATTAAAAAAAATATATCTAGCTTTGGCTTATTTAGGTTGATGGAATATGTCAATGCATATGCGTATGTAGGTCAGTAGTTATCAGTGGTTGCATATAAGAAGTATTATCCACTAGCCTTAATGCAAAATGTCTGACTAGAGTTATAGGCCTGGTGCACTGGGTGAAAGCAACAGTGACTCACCCTGCCTCCTACATATCACAGTCAGTTCTCTGAATCCATTATTTGTGTAGATGGCCTTCCCACTGTGAATTCTTATCACTTGGCAACAGAGATGCTTGAGATTTGGACTGATTGGAGGAGCGGTGCAAAAGGTGAAACGGGACATTTGAATACAGTGATTGAGTGCATCGTGCCACCTTCCAACTGCATGCTGCTTGGTCCCAAAAAGGCCAAAAAAGAAGTGAGGCTGGGAACAAGGCAGATTCTCTCTGATCTCTCGGTCCGTCTCTCTTGTGTGCCACTCTAAACAGGTCAGAGCATCCAAATGTGGGTGAAAGACACATTTCATAGATAGGGCAGCAAAAAAATGACACTTTCTGACACTTCTAGGCTACCACTGAGACCAGAGGCTGCCCTGCTTATGAAGTACTAAACAGCCAGTAAAACAGTTTTCTTAAATCAACTGTCTGTAGGCAGTTTCAAAGCAAAAGACTCATTAAAAGATGATTTCATCTTCAGCTGGTCAGTCTATGTCATATGTCAGTCCTCAAGGGACAAAATACAATTCAGGCGCATCTCACAAATTTCTAGGCCCTCAATAAATGCTCTCTTTGTTGATCCAAAGGGAAGCATCTGCTCCCCTCTTATTTCTTGAAAATATCCAAACCTTATTAAACAACCTACTGTATAGAGTCCACTCCAACAAGTTTTGGCCACCTTCATGAAAATGAGCTCAATTCAATATATTAAATAAACCACATATGAGTAATATTTTGGTTTAAGCAAATGGGTAAGCTGCATGCTTTTATTTTTACACTGTGTTTTGAAAAAAAAATCTTTAGTAACACACTTTTTTTTTTTTTACCAATATTAATATCTGTGCCCTGTGATGGGCTGGTGACCTGTCCAGGGTGTATCCTGTCTTCCACCCGATGACTGCTGGGATAGGCTCCAGCACCCCCCGTGACCCAGAAGGAGAAGCGGCTTAGAAGATGTGCGTGTGTGTGTGTGTGTGTGTGTGTGTGTGTGAGTGTGTGTATTAATATTTGATGTAACCCGCCTGGTAAGAATAATAGCACTGAGCCACTTTCTGCTTAACAAGGTTAGAGAATGTTTGTTGAAGGATCTTGGACCTCTCCTCTAAGCAGGTCATTTCCAGTTCCTTAATATTCTTGGGTCTTCTCTTGTGGATTCAAATATGGAGAATGAGAGGGCCATTACCAAATTCTGATTCTGTGTTCCTGCAAACATTTCTTTATGGATTTTAACGTGTGTTTGAGGTCATTATCTTGCTTAGAGGTGCACCCATGGCCAAGTTTCAGCCCTCTGGCTGAGGCAGACAGATTTTAGGCTGACTCTAATGATGTTTGGTGAAATTCATTATGCCACTGATTTTCACAATAGCCTCTGGACCAGTAACATTTAGCTAGTCCTGGTGCTGCATTTTGTGGCTTTCTCTTATGAAAGTATTCTTTCATGAAAGCTTCTGGTCATGGTGGTGGTGTCTGACAGTGGATTCTGAAATGTGAAAATCCCGAGAATAAACCAAACTGTGCAGCTCTGAAACTGTGATCTTTCAGTTCTCTTTTTCCACTATTACCATCCTCCTCACCGTACGTGGGGATGGTATGCTCATGTGTCCTATTTCTGGTGAAAACTGTTCCATGCTTTTTAAAGTTTTCTATTATCACCATGATTGTGCTTTACAGTAATTTCAACTGACTCATTTTTTAGAACATTGTCCTAATCTGTACAGTTGTACAACCTGTCTATTTTGAGCTGACAGCTCATTGGCTTTAGCAATGTTGGTGGATGACAAATAGATTTGACATGTGTGTAACCTCATATTTTTTAACCCAAGTAAAAAGGAAATGGTCATAGACAACAATGGAGTTCCTGGAGACTAGGAGCAATAAAAAGAAAGACATATAGGAAAAGAAACTCCAAACAACCGTGCAAGACCTGGAGAACCAACAAAACTGCCACCATCAAATAAGCTTAAAGATAACTAAAGCTTTTATCTTAGAGAGAAAATCAAGCTCCACTCTTGATTCAGATCTGAAACAGTCCACAGGTGTTTTTGCCTGTCCTTGAACTGTGAGAATAAAACTTAACACTATGGGTTTGAAAGGATGTGTAGCTGTCAAGAAGCATTTACTGTGAAAAGGAAAAAGACAAAAAATTGCAGATCAAACAAAGAAGCTGCTGGTGTTCTCAGAACAATGAACTGAGCACCCCAGAGTTCAGACCTCAACATCACTGAATGTGAATTTACTTGCATCATGAGAAGCAGAAAATGCAAACAAAGACTGAACTTTGGAGCTGTGGAAAAATCCCTGCAGAGTTATTTGAAGAACTGAAAGTAAGCCTCCTAAAAATATGAAAGCTGTAATAAATGGTGAAAAAAATATATTACATTTAGTTGTTGAGGCTTCTGTGTAAGTGTGTGTTAAATGTGTGAGTTCCGTTTTTTTCTTGATGCTGAAATATAAATAATTTGTACTTAATGGTCATTTTGACTGGAAATGAAATGATGGGTGGTTCATATTACCAGTTTAGTCTGAAACTATTTACTTTTCCACTATTTGTTCAGTTATGACACTAATCACTTAGACATTTACATCTGTACACCAACGTAAACATTTTACTCTAGATTAGGGTTCTGGGTAGTGATTTAAACTACTTCCTCAGATGTGATTCCAGCTTATGAGTTCCCTTGTGAATCTTGAATCCAATACAGTTGTGGGGGAGAGAGGAGTAAAGCTGACTGGTCTGTCTAGTGGCAAATCACTGCTCTCTTTATTCATATTTGTTAGATATTTACATATTTATCATATTTTAAGAGGGAAATTATTGGCTATTGGCTCCACTGAACAGAAGGGCTGTTTGCATCCTGCATCATGTTCATGAAACCTTTCAGCCCCAATTTTGTGACTATTGAGAGCACCTGGGAATTAAGCAGTGCAAATGGACGTAAACTTAAATTCCTATTCCAATTCTCCAGCAGAGGGCATCATTCTCAAACATTTTTCCCGAGGAAACGTTCAAAGTAGAGAGACTGGACGGACATCCCTTTCCTGAGAGAATCGTACATTTTTTTCCTTTAATGCTCATTGCAAACTAGCCGTTTGTAAAAGTGTTTGCTGCTTTAAATAGTGGCGGGAATGAAAAGTGCCAGCTAATGAAACTACACAGAGGACACAGTGCTGATGGAGTCGGTTCTGGCCTCAGGCTGTGGAGGACTGTGGTGTGGTCAGCAGCTTCCTGAGCCCCTCAGTCTTGCTTTCTCATCAGGAACTCAGCAGTAATGGCACTTAGACAGACTGGCTGCATTAATAAATATGCCCTACAATGGAACAAGCAAAGCCTGCAGACTCGGTGTCTATAAAGAAGACACTTTCATAGGATTCAAACTAGTAATAAAGACGTGATCATTCCACTGTTTTTATTACATCACTTAAAAGGTTTTATAATCATCAAGAAGCTTAAATTCGATTTTTAATATAATTTTAGGTTTTCTTTTTGGAGAGAGGTCAGACAGACAGACGGGATTTCTGCTCACTGACCTGTAGGGTGCTGCTGAGAGAAGAGTGATGAGGTCAGTGCTTGCCCCGCTCCCAGTATGTGTCAATCAAAGCGTTACGTCACGCGTCTCCATGGCGTTTCCGGCGCGGTGGGCGGGGCTCCGGTGTCCCGGTCTGGAGTGTGGGAGCGCGAGCGCAGCTTGGACACGGATGCGCGCGGCCATATTCGGCTTCACACAGAGCCACACCGGCTAGCACGGGCTAGCGGAGACTCGCCGACTGAAAGGCCACCACTCCCAAAATCCGCGGGCACGTTTATGTACCTCGGCGTAGCGTCTGGAGTTCTTCATCGGGGGCTCTCGTGTTTTTTTCGGGATACATTCGTCCGAGGCTGAGAGGGAATGGACGTCCGGTCAGCGTGAGATTCGACGGGATTAAAAAAAAGCTCCGACATCGCAGCTTTTCAGAGTGGAAAGTAGCGTACAGATTTTGTCGGGATTCGCGTTAACGGTAGCTAAAGCAGATGGAACCGGCGGGGCCTCGAGCGTGAAGAGCGGAGAGATTTATTTAGCGCGCCGATCAGAAGCCTCGTTTAGTGAAGCTGAACATAATGTTAGGCTTGTTTTGCTAGCTAGCTAGCTGAATAGCTAGCTAGCAAGTTGGAGTCTGGCACTTCAGTGCTCCAAATCGGCCGAACAGATATTCGTGTATTTGTTTTTTCGTTGCGCCAAGCGGCGCAGGGTTCGTGTTTTCCCCCACCAGTTCACTCCGCTTCGGGGCTGTTTTTTCTAGGCTAGGGAGTGGTGGTCAGGCCTTGACTGATAGAAAATGTCTGCGAAGGTGCGCCTGAAGAAGTTGGAGCAGATGCTCTTGGATGGCCATCAAAAGAACGCAAGATCACTTAGTGTCGAGACACTTCTGGATATTTTGATATGTTTGTTTAACGAATGCAGCAGTTCGCCCTTGAAACGGGAAAAACATGTGACGGACTTTCTGGAATGGGGTGAGTCGGCTTATTCTCTGATAGCGCTTGATTATATTAGTCGCTATCTGCGGCTGTCCCTTTGTAACTGTTAGCCAGCCTAGTAACTCGTTATTGAAAATGACTGGCTAGCCAGTTTCAGGCCATAGCCAGTGTGGTGCCATGACAGTTGGTCACTAATAGCTTATGAATGGTAAATGCTGAATCTTGTTTCTGCTGCATTCAATTTGTGACTGTAATCAGAACTTAGCTGTTTAGCCAATGCTTATTTTTAGGTTGTGTGCCATTATTAAAGTAGTTTTTAGGGATTTGATTATCCTGGAACTACACCAACTGTACATGTAACGTTGTTTTACCAGATAGCCATAGATATCAGTGATGTCACTTTTGCTGAATTTGTTTTCATATTTCCAGACACTTGTGGCAGAGGTTTTAGTTCCTGCTTAAGGGCAATGAGAAATCCCCCACCTTATAATAATGTCAAGTTTGGCCATGTACGAATAGACTGTTGCTTAGTGAATAATTAACAGCTGCTCTGTAATGCTGCGCTTGTTCCTCCATTTTATGCCAGAATCCCTGTGGCTTATTCTGGACTGTTCTGTGTGTATTTCTGAAGCGTGTTGGCAGACAAAGTCCCTTACTCCTCCTCCTCTGGTAGAGTTTGCAGTCCACTTGAGATGGACCCAAGGTGGCAACCACTTCTCTCTTTGGGGCTGTCCTGGCCTTGTGGACGCACAATGAGAGGATTCTCTGCTCTGAGTGTTTCATTGACGTCAGTAATGAGATTACAGCCCAGTGTGTCTGTTTCCCAAAAGAGCACCACTGTCCTTGAGGAACCCACCACGAGCAGGTGCCACCTCACATCCCATCGCTCACAATGAGCCATGAGTGTGACTCAATTTCCAGGACTCAGGAAACTTGTTTGTGTGTTCCTCCATAGCCCAGTGCTGGGTCATTCACTTCCTGTCTGGGCTCCTGAATGTGGAAAATTAAGCTAACTTTTGGCTCTGCGGATGCGTTGTGGTCTACACTTGCAACAGAAGGGTGCATCTAGTATCCATGTGCATCATGTTAAGGAAGTTATTTTCAGTATTCATGTTTTGGAGATCTCTCTGAACAGGCTTTTAGTTCAGTAAAACTTATTCGTAGTGGCTGGGCACTGTGAATAAACTCTTAATACTGCTTTAGACGATGTCGTCGAGTGTGTTTAGGGTTATTTGTTAAATGCATTTTTATTCTTTGGGTCTTTGCACTCCAGAGACCAGATAGATCTGCACCTCTTTATCATTAACTGACATATTGACCACATTTCACATTCTGCTATTGATCACAGCTATAGGTTTACAGTCCATCTCTGCTCACTCTGCCACTTTACTGAGTGCTTAGAAGCTGACATGGAGAAACAAATCAAGGGAGATGAGGAGTGCTAGTGAATTGCAATAAGATTTCATTTGAGACATCTTCTAGTTGCTTCCTCAAAAATCAATCTCAGGATAATTTCTTAAACTTTGCCTGGCCTGTCCATGTCATGCTTTGAGAGGACTTATGTGACTCCATGGAAGAAGTAGAATCGAGGTCAGCAGGATATGGACAGTGGTATGCAGGTGTTTGTGCTCGTGTGCCTACCTGATAGCAGGGCAGCGATGACTAACTGAAGGGAGAATAGGAAAAGGAGATAAACATATCAACCAGCATTTACCTTCAACTGCAAAAGTTCTCTAGTCCGCACTTCCGTGTGATCTCTCCTACATCAACATATTTATCTACTTTTTATTACGGGTGCGTGATGATATCGGATGCGTATTAGTATCAGCAAATAATTGTTTGGATTTTTAGATTTGACTGAAATTTCAAACAAGTATTTGTACTAATTATACTAGAATGTCTGCCTTTTAATTATTCTACTGCCTTTGTAAAGCTATATAAACACTATATTTCTCCATAATGCTAATCTAAAATATTTGTGTATCGGCATTGACAGATATGTACGTGATAAATATTGAGTAACGGTGAGGGTGCACTGATGTTAGAATTTTGGGCTGACACCCATATCCCATATTTTTCATTATTTACATAAACATTTATGAAATCTCAAATCTTCAACTAGAATCTGTTAAATTGGATTAGCGTTTCTAAAATTATTGTAACACTCACTTGTAGAGGGTTAAAAATGCTGTAAAATTAAGTATAGAAGCCCAGCATTGCATACATGTTGTTTTTCTACAGTATAATGAATACATCAAACATCAGTTTAAAATATCAGTCAGATCTGAACATCTGCTGATTTTTTATTTATTTTTTTTTAACGCAAACATCTGCAGATACGCATAATGATTCCAATATCATTGTGCATCGCCAGGTAATGCGCTCAGCCTGCTGTTCTCATATCAGTGCATCCCTCCTATTTATTATTTCAACAGTTCATATTTAAAATAGGAATGCTTAATGTGTTCAGTGTTTGTGTGAGAACAGATGTGGCATATCTCTCTGGATGTGGTGGTATTCTCTCCATGACAAAAGGGAGGTAGACTAGCTGTGCATCTCTCTGAATAAGGCGGATAGAGTCAGAGAGTAGCAGCTGAATAGCCTGGCTTACCACTGGTGTTTACATGTAAACAGCATTAGGTTCTGTTCTTTGAAGGCATGCTGCAGAGCAGGTTATGCTTCTGTTTAATTCTGACCCAGAGAGAGAGAGAGAGAGAGCGCGCGCTAGCAGGGAGTAGGCTTAGGAAACATTGCTCTCTGGCTGGCATTCCCCCATGGGATCAGTGCTGTTTATCTGTGCCAGTCTCAAACATCAAAGCCACTGCTAGTCAAGCATGCTGTGCTGCTGCAAGAGCTTTGACTAGAGGATACTCCCCTTCTGAACCCTTAAACCTCCCAACACACTGGTTTTCAAAAAGGTCTAGAAGAATAAAACACAAGACAACACAAATACCTGGTCCCTCTGGAGAAATAGCTTTTTGCAGTCACTGGATTCATGCCCTCTGTTTAAGTGCTACTGTTCACCGAGTGGCTAGTTGCTTGCTTTTCTCAGTCGTGGGAGATGCTCCTGTCTGCCTTACCTTATATCTTTGTTAAATGGAGAACAATGGCGTGGTGGTGTCTTAAATGTTGCCCCTGAAGCGAGCAGATGTGGACTTGCTTGAAATACAAATGCAACGAATAAGCGTGAGCTTAAACTACGCCTGCAAAGATGGTAGCATGCTGACTGCTGTGTTGGGGATGTTGCCTCATAACTATGCATATTTCAGTTTTTCCTCCATGAGTGAACACCTAGAAAAGGTAAAGTGCTTTAAACCAGAAGCAGTGATTTTGCCGCTTCTGCACTGCACTCTGTGTTCAGAATATCGATATGGCAGTATATCATGGATAAGCTCATGGTGATATGTTTATTGATACAGTGATAGCTGTGTCGATATTTATGGATGCCCGAGTGAAACAGATCAGGTCTGAGAGGCCGACTTTTTACAGCATCCACTTTGTGGCAAATGTGTTCTAATACATAGTATTCGATAATGTCATTAAGAAGACCACGTTGCTATGTTGCTAGGCGTGCTGTAACTGACTCTGAGAGCTCGTCTCATCATTGTTACTGCAGTTACAACCCTGCAGGTGGCTGAAGACCAAAAGCAAAATATATCAGAATGACCACAAAAATGTCTTAACATGAAAAGATATGTAGACACTTTAGATGCAGTCTCCAGAAAATGCTACAAGGATAAGATCACCTAGATTGGTGGACCGGATCCACATAGCCTGTGTATATCCAGAGTTCAGAAAATTCCAATCTCTTGAGATTTTACAAAAACTATTAAAAATGACTACCAAAACTGCCAAAGCTCTTAAATAGTAAACTTATACACATATAGAGCTGAAGTTAGCTTTTTTTATTCGCCAGCTTCCCTTTTGAATTATCTGTTCCACCTTAAATGGTGCTGCAGTTACATTGACGTGCCTTAAACATAGAATGAATTATGAAAGGTGGCGATTACGAAGCCAACATCAGCTTATCTCAATAAATATTAAATGTATGGAGCCCTGCTGGTGACATCCGGTACAAAAAAAAAATGCCTGGCCATGCTGTATTAACGTGTGGGAATGAGATCCTAATGCGTGGCCCCGACTTAGTAAGGTGTGGGGACGAGATAATTAAGTTGTGGCCACAATCCCACGCCTTACTAAGTCATGGCAATGCATTAGGATCTCATTCCCATGCCTTACTAAGTCGTGGCCACACCTTATTTTTATTTATGTGGGATGTCACCAGCAGGGCTCCATATAAAAGTTGTTCACTAATAATTTTACAGTTACAGACTTACTTTACCATATGACCAGCACCTCAGACCATAAATATGATGTGGTTATTAAACATGTCTGTCATTCTCCCTTTCCTTATTCATTCATTCATTATTGCTATAGTTTTAAGAACAAAATTTAACCAGCAAGAATTTGGTCAACATCTGGTGTGTTTTGTCATTGTGTTAAATTGAGGAGCTTGTATCATGATATGTATTGTATTGTTACTGTACAGTTAGTTTACACTGCCACTGTACACTGTCACATCTTTTGCCATAGGCTTCCATGATAATCATTGTAGTATTTAGTATTGCTGCGCAATGCAAATAGTGCAGTCGTCACATTCATGTAGCAATGGTATTTTTTTCATTTTTGGCCCACTTGAAGCGTGTGTGAAATACAGAGCTACTGCATTTTTTGCTTTTGACTTTTGATCTGGCTGTGTCTGTTATTAGACAAGGTTGTGTTAGCCTAATTTGTGCAGTTGATCCTTTTTTTTTGTGGTATGTGTCAATAAATATGCACCCAACATTGAACTAAGTTAGCCTAATGCCTATTCTGTCTAGAATAGTTAGCCTAATAGTTGGCCTACTTGCTAGTATTAAGCAAATATTGATGTTCTAAATGTGTGCTGGTCAAACCTCTTATCAAAGACACAAATTAGTGATGTGAAGGGGCGCATGTCAAAGCCAGAGTGATTGACTAGTACCCTGGATAACACC